CATTGTCACTGAAGATGACAATGAAATATATACACATCTACTACAGGACTCGCCTTGAAATTTTTCCATTTGCATTAAATTTGCATACTGATGCGACAGTCTGGTCGGCAGCCAAGAGCGGCCGACAGTGATCATCGCTCTTCTATCTCCAGCAGGAGCAGTTATTGGTGAGCTGGCCAACATAAAACATTTACCAGGTAAAGGGACAAATAATCCATTCAGTGGAAACGTTTGTGGAATATTTTCTTGCCACCACATTCTCCTGAATGATTGTAAAACACTTGAGAGGAGGGAGACGAGCAGGAGGAGTGGTCGTCCACTTACAGGTTTACTGTACGCAGAGAGTAGAAACAAAGCGAGCTGACCTTCAGAGCAAACAGCTCAGGCCATGAAGTGCATTTACCTTAATACTTCCCAACATATGTCACAGGCCCACCCACCAGCTTCTGAGTCATCTCAGGAACTGTATGTGATGTTTACATGGAAACCTCATACAGTGTCTGCTCTGCTGTGATCAGAACATTGTGGCCTTGCATCATATCTTCTGAGCAAAACAACCTCAACTCATACGTTCAGAAACATTAGTTAGGTTATGTAGTTATTAGGCAGATACGAGGACACGGTTCGGTGGTCTGAATGGTTATAGATGTGATTATTTGTCACCTACTAACCCTAAAACGTTGTGGCTTAAGTTTGACTTGACTTTAAATGAATGCTGGGTTTGCAAACAGGCAACCGTTTGCCCAGAAGCTTATCATATAAAGGTGATAATGTGATAATGTCGTGTTCACGTTTACACACCTGGCCGGTTGCTTCAGGTTTAAGCTGCTGCCGTTTTCACACATCGGTGCTAATAACCCAATGCTAGTGAGCTAACAGCAAAGGGCTAATGTTAACCTTCTAATCTACCAAAGCTTTTAGGTACGCAAGTCGCCAGATTGGGGTGTTTTCCTGCAAACACGTGGCTGTTTTTACAACGAGTTATCAGGTGATTTGGTGACCATTTGTCCTCCGTTATCTCGCTGCAGCGCTGCAGTCAAGCGGAAGACCGGCAATCAGTCTAAAGCTGTTGATGATAATGAAATTTAAATTGATTATCATCGCTGGTTTAAACAAACAGTAATCAGCTGACTGCACATTTATCATATGTTTGCAGCCAGTCTATCAGTTTTATGTGCATGTCATTAATATCAACCTAAACGAGCTGGTGCAAAAATATCTCCTAAAAAAAAAAAAGGAGCAACATTAGATCAAATTTTTAAAAGATCTGAAGTGTAAGTAAAAAGTCACGCTAAAAGAATAATCTGTAACCATGTAATGATGTCTGAAGTTGTCATTTAACGGGCTCTTATCTTTAATTACAGCTACAGGAAGCCAATCCAGCAATTACGACACCGTCAAAATGATACTGCGACTTTGTCAGATGGACTGATTTTGGAGTCTTGCTGTTGCTCGGTTAAAAATGCACCCGTTAGAGCGCGACACTAAGAAACTAAACAAAACTGCCGGATTCATTTACTGGAACTTGTCATTTGAGCTTTGTTTAAACATGAAAGTGAAGGTCCTTGGAGAAATTAACTTTGTCAACATCATCCGACAGCTTTTCGTTGCGTTATCTGCAGGAAACAGTTCAGGTGAAGTGAGCAGAGAAACAGGCTGTCGGAGCCATAAGGTCTCAGATGAGATGTTGTCGTGGATTAGTGATAGGATCCGTCGCACATGTACACGGGACTGCAGGGATGCTACACATTTGGAATCCTGATCAGGATATTTCAGTATTTTACTGCCTTGTCTAAACACCTAGAGTAAGTTGCTAATTAGGTTCTGGCTGGACAAAATCTGTTTACATCCAGATGATGATAATCCATGTGATAATAATCCTGTCTGGGGCATTTTTGCGTATTAGTCAATGATAAAAACCAAATCTACAAAATCCATCCATCATCTTAACACCGTTTAATCCTCACCAGGGTCATGGGGGGCTGGAGTCTATCCCAGCTGACTCAGGGTGAAGGCAGGTTCACCTGGACAGGTAACCAGTCTATCACAGGGCTACACTTAGAGACAGACAACCAAGCACACTCACATTCACACCTACGGACAATTTACAATCACCAATTAACCTCAGCATGTTTCTGGACTGTGGGAGGAAGCCGGAGAACCCGGAGAGAACCCACGCTGCACGGGGAGAACATGGAGACTCCACGCAGAAAGATCCCCACCGGGATGCGAACCGGCGACCTTCTCGCTGTGACACAACAGTGCTAACCAACTGCGCCACCTTGCAGCACCATGATAAAAACCAAATCTACACAATCTGGTGTGGCATCAAGATTCCTTGCTTCCATTTCCAAGACTATCTCTGCACTGCAGATAATAAACACAGAAGGGTCCCGCGGAAAAGAAACTGCACAGCTCAGGATTGCATTTGGCACATACTAACCGCGTTGGTGATATAATGAGTTATCACTCCTCACTGACAAGTACTTCAACCGCTTCGCTGCCAGCAGCCGCGCTTCTTTTGATCAAAACCCTTCGAACATTCAGCGTGATAGCAGCAAAGTGTAACATCTTACCGTGACCACTGTGGCTGAGGAAGAACAAAGCAACTGCCCACAGGATGACAGACCAAAGCAAAGCCTGCGTGAAAGCTTTGAGAAACCGGCTATTTTATTGAAACATGCATTATTGATCTGCAGATGAAAATGAGACAAAATGCTGCAGACAGTGAGCTTCAGCTTTTGCACACATTCACGCTTTTAGCAAAATGAATGCAGTAAATAAACTGAGCAAATGTGTCATCCAGTCATGATATCTGGTGTTTTATATCATTACTGGGGGGTGATAATTGTGATCCAGCATGAGGGAGATTTTGTTTTTCTATTGTGAAGCTCCAAAAAGAATAGCAGCTGCAGAGTAGAATTCACCTCAACAGCTTATTACAAAATTACAGAGAACATCATTATTATGTCCACAAGTTGATTTGTGCAAATCTCCTCATTAACGGAGCAGCAGAGAGGACAGAAGGAGCTGATGATCTGGAGACAAAGTGCAACACCTGTGGTAAATATACTCCGGTATGGCTCCCCCGTATCACTCATAATTGCGAGTAAATCAGTCAAGAGAAACAATTACCTCAACAGGTATTTTTTAGAGAACACAGATCTCCTAAAGTGTCACCAGATGGCATCATTATTTCGAGACTCAATGCAGTCAGTAAAGCTGCCTTTAGCATTCCAATATATCTACCTTGTGCACACTTCCTGCTCTAATGGAATAGGTTTTCACTGCTGCCAAGGACCCATCTTCCCAGGACAGCATCCCTAAAAGAATTATGATTTACATCCAACGCTGAGAAGCAGCCGTGATGTTTATGCTGCAGCAAACTGGTAAACATCACTCTGGTACAGTTTCCATGATGTGAACAGTTAATTCTGATGCACGAATGCCAAAGTGAAGTGGCTGAAGCACCTTGGCTTAAGAGGTACTTCACAAATTAAAGTAATGCAGGACTCCTAATGAAGCCTGTTGCTTGTGATCAGAAAGATGAAAAGAAGGCATTTAATGATGAGTTTTTAAAAAGCACTTCCTGCCTCGAGCAGACACATTTTTAAATTATCCTCGGTAATTTTAAAATCATTAGTCATGCTCGCTTTGTTTACATCCTTTCGGGGGGAAAAAATAAAATAAATAAAAGTCTGGCAAAAGGTCAGGCCATTTAGATAAGCACTTCATCACGTAGGGGCTCGGTGGGAGGTGATTTATTACCTTGCTGCACTTCAGGATTCTCCTCAAACTTTTCCCAATAAACTCACAACTTTGAAGTCATCGTCAAAGGGCGGAACAAGATTGTGGGTTTAGAGTCATTAACACTTTTTATGCTTTTAGGTAATTACCAAGGGATGAATGAAAGCGCAAATTAGGAGGCCGACTAAATGAATAGCTAAACAGTTTGTTGCCAAATAAGTGCTGGAGTGGGAGTAATGACTGGTCCCTTTAGCTCCTGAGTTTGTGGGTTCACACACTGACCACTAATGAATAGTTCCAGATGAACTACGGCTTTTGTTTCCTCAAATGAACAGGACTGTGCAACATGCAGTGCTGACATTGAGCTGTGATTTGTGTCACGTCTTGTTCTTTGCATGCAAAAAGACCAACGATGCATCAACTAGTCTCACTGGTTTGTGTTTAAGTGGAACTTGGAAGTTGCCTTATTTATCCAAATGCACTAAAATGTGTATTTTTCTCGCATTTTTTTTGACTGTGTTGTGCGTAAATGTGTAAAATATGCATTCACAATATACGTCTTTGAGATACAGGGTGCATCCCACACACCCAAACCGCATCCTGCACGTCCAATCATGGGCGATCTCTCAAATTTCCTACAAATTCCTATCATGTGAAAGCATCTGGAACTGCGTATCAGCCACCTTGTAACACCTCGCTGTGGAGTCGAGCCAACCAGCCAGCCAGCCAGCATCAGCGCAGTGTCTAATCTCTCCATCTCCGGGAGCGAGTGAGGCGCCAGTGCAGAGGCTGCTGGATGAGGGTGATGCGCACTGAGGAGCCTCACCAAAACACTGCTGCTTTCCCTGACACGAGGATGGACAGAGTTCCTGCGTAACGGTAACGCGGCGACACATTTCTCTCCCTTCTCCTCCGCCACACTTTGGTGCGCTTTTCTTATGAAATTATAGGACGAGAAACAGCATCCAAGCTCGTGGATTATTTTTTTTTCTCCCTCTCTTTACAATTTGGAAGGCTGTAAATTGTGTTTCTCAGCAGCGGAGAGGTTTCCTGGAGGGGGGGAGGTTGTTTTTTTTTTTTAATGCAAACTTACTTTGTGGACACAGTGTCGTGCTGTTTATGTGGCGTCCTTCTTGGATTGATTTCAGCTGTCTTCTGTTGTTAAGGTTCGTGCACAAATCGATTGGAAATGTCCGATTCCCACAACCGGAGCCAAGCCAGCGCGCGTCGCAGTGACTACGTGTGGCAGTATGAATACTACGACGACGAGGAGCCCGTTTCTTTTGAGGGACTCAGAGCGCACAGATGTAAGAATGAATCCGTCACTGAGCGCCTTGCCTTCTTTTTTTTTCTCCATTTTCCTTTAACTGTCCTTCCACTTTGTGCACTTTGTGTGAGCCACCCAGGCCACTTCTAGGTAATCATGTTCCATTATCTCCTCACTCACTTGCATTATCTTTATTGCCTCAGCTGAGGGGTGACATCGGTTGCCTGGTTTCCAAATAACATCACCCAGCAGCAGGGCTTCATGCTGCACCAGTGTTGGGCGTTTTTACACCCCACTGGTCACGATAAAGACACTTAATGAGACCAAATTGCCACAGCAAACTAATCCAATCCCAGAAAAATGATGTGAGTGCTCAGTGTGACTGACTAATGGAGGATTTTTTTCTGCCCTCAGAGCGAGGTCTCCTGAGGAAGCTGAGGGATGAGTTTAATCGCTTACACTGATGTGCTAACGAGAGTCTTCCCTCTCTGACCTTTCCAGACTCCATCGTTATCGGCTTCTGGGTCGGACTGGCGGTGTTTGTCATTTTCATGTTCTTTGTCCTCACGCTGCTCACAAAGACGGGAGCGCCACATCAAGAGTGAGTACACGCACCAGCAGCAGCACCCCCTCGCTTCCTTTCACTTTCATCGAGAGCTTCAAGCAAATCCAGCTCCTCTCATGTCGGCGCTGTCTTGAGGATGGACTCGGGAAGTTCGTAAATGGACAGCAGAGAGAGAGAGGGGCTGTAATGAGGTTCAGGGATGCCAATTAAAGTTGTAAGACGTTGTAAATTTGGCTGCATGCATTTTCTGTGAAAAGATGAATTGGGGGGAGGATGAGCCGCACATTGGAAAAGGCTGATTTACATTTTCAAGTGCAGAGCGGCAGTGGAAAATTGGTGGGAAATCACTCATAAGGTCAGACCGAGTGAAGCTGAGGTTAGGCTAAGATGGAATAAAGAGATTATGGGCTGGCGGTGCGTTCGTCGCCCTCCCTCGACCCCCTTTGTTTTGCCATAAAAGGCTGCAGAGATCATTTGGGGCATTTATGTCCAGACACAGACGTACAAAGCAGCGAAAAAGAAGTCCTGTGTATTGAGCTGCAGCGACATTAAGTGCAAAAAATGACAAATAAAAGCCTTTCATATTTTTCAAAGCCTTTTTTCGAAGGCGAGCTCTCACTCCGGACCTCTTCTTTGTTTCCTCAACAGAAACCAGGACTCCGCTGAAAAGCACCATCGACCGGGGAGCTGTCTGGTAGACATCGACGGTCACCAGGACGAAAACGACAAGGCCTTCTCTCGTCCGCTGCTGGCCGGGTCACGCTCGTATTTTAATTTCTACATCAATGAGGACGACCAGGGTCAGGGGAAGCCAAAAAACGAAGACAAGAGAGCCGGGAAGCATAACGGAGCCCAGCAGGGAAACTGCAACAGGCCCGGAGGCGTGGACGAGATGGAGGAGGACGTTGAGGAAGCTGTCGGACGCCAGCATCTCAATGGATTAATAGAGGAGTGTAAGACAGACAGAGAGTGTGCCTTCCTGTCTCACTTCAACATCCCGAACTTTGTGAGCCTGGATCACAACTCGGCGCTCGGAGAGGACGACCTGCTGTACGAGCCGTCCGTCGTCCTGGAGCGCCAGTCTCAGTCTCACGGTTCTCACTGTGACGTCCGCTAAGGATGTTTCTGCAAACAACAACAAAACAGGCTTGGATATAGTGGTATTGTACTGTCATTTGCTTTCCATTCAGAGGGCCAGCTGTGGCCAGACCGGGGGGAGATACACTCATCTGCTACACAATTATATTTGAACAAGCATACGGTCATATCAACAAGGAGAAAGGTACAAAGCAAAAGCCCACAACCCTATTCTAAGTGCAACTCCAAGTTAGAAGATGAGATTCCCTCCTGCACATACAAACGCCTCGGTAACAGTATGTTACTCTGAGCACTTGGCTCTTCAATTAGGTGAAGCTGTGCCGTTCTGGACCAGAACCATCCACATCTGAGAAAAACGAAAGAGCAGCGGGGTCGCCAGCGGGAGGTGCTTCGTTCAGTTCGTTCCGCTGTTATTGCCGTCTTGTTTCCTGTTTTTTTGTTTTTTTCGTGGATCCCTGGACGTTATCTCTACAACAAGGCGTGGATGCCAGTTGGTCAACCAGCGAGACTCTTTTTCTTTTTCTTCTTAGTTCTAAAATTAAGCGCTTTCTCGTAGAAACGGTGAAGTGTACGTCAACTGTGTCGTTAGTAGCACAAAATCAAACATATCATTGTTCTTTAACGGGGGGTAGGGAACCCGAGACCCGGGGCGACGATATGACGTGATACTTTTGTAGTCCTGTTAAACTTACACGATGCTGAATGTCGATTGTCCAAATAAAGCCGAAATGGTTTTTGAAATCAACCAAACGCTGGTGTGTCGTAGCATTTCCTGACACGGAACATGATACCAAACGATCAGGGTTCTGGAGCTAGAATTTAAAGCTGCACAGAGGATAACATAACTGGTGATAGCTTTAACTTGTGGTTAACACACAATATACAACCTGCAACGACCACACAGCAGACCATAGTGAGGCATTTTGCAACTAAAGAGTCGGTATTTTAGCCCCAGGAGAAGGAGGAGGAGACCCAAACTGAGCTAAAAGCAAATATTGAACTTGCCTACGACTTCAAACGACAAAATGCTGCGTTTACAGACTGCTGCCGTGTCGACAAACGCCTAAAAACATCAATAAATGCAGGTTCCTTGTTGGTAATATCCTCAGTGTTCGACAAAGGGGAGAGAAAAAAACAAAACAGAGCTGCTGCCTCTGTTTATTCAGAGAGTAATCTTTCCCAGCCACAACAAATTAAAATGGTTTCGAGCAACATCACTGGGTGATTATGCAGAGGAACACTGCTGGTTGTCAGTTATCAGGAAACGGACGAGCGACGTATGTTTGTCTGATTGAGGGATTGTGCCGGGAATGCCTGAGAGTCTATCAGCGCTAATGCAACGCCGACTCCACCAAATCAGTCTTTTTGGATTTCGACAAACAGCCTATTAATTCGTTTTATGATGTTCCAGGGGGGAATAAAAATAAAAATGAAGACCTCTGACCTCTGCTGGCATGTCTTGTGTTCATTGAAAAGCAGGCAGTCACAACCAGACGGAATAAATGCGCTTTGTTACCTCAATTATTAGGATTTTTTTTTCTGCACAAAACTCACCAGAAAGAACATCGTCTTTAATTAACATTGACATCATTCTTAGATAAGCAGCAGCAATTGTTTTCTGATGATAAAAACATCACGGCGCCTTTTACAGGGACCAGAAGTTAATGAGAAAACTCAATAAAAATAAACCAAATTTTTCCCTTTTTTCTTTCTTTCTTTACTCTGAGCACAAACATCCCCGCAACCGTGTCGCTAAGCTGAGAAATCAGATGCCACGTTAATCATTAAACTGTCACCGTGTAGCTGAGCGACACTCAGAAGTGTTGTTCAGTCCCGCCAGTGAAGAATTTAAGAAAAAAGGAACTGCTTTGCCGGGTTTCAAGCTCGCTCAGGGTGCAGTTCGCTCTCGCTAAAAAGGCGGCAAAGTTCAGAACGCCGAGTCTCTGGCGTGGGCAGAAAACAGGTTAATGTTTGAGGTTATGTAATGTAAACATGCAGAAGATGCATCGCGATGAAACAGACTCTCTGACGATCAAACTACCTGACAGACGTGCGGGGACTCGAGAGGAGCCCTCGACCACAGAAGGAATACATTAATTGCTGTCCTTTCTCCATCTGTGAATGGCAGGACTTCAAACTAAAATCATTTACACATCATTGGCGGCGGTTGCTGTGGTGATGTAAGATTAAGTGACTTGGCAGCAAGGGAGTGAGAGAGAGAGCAGCAGTGAATCACATTCTTATTTATCTTCTGACTGAGGGGGTGTTTACAGTCAAATTGTGTCCAGCGTGAAATCACAAACACAAAAAGGCTGGCAGGGTATTTAAAATGGAAAATATTTCATATGAAGGCTGCATGTAAATCTCATCGCGTCTCCATCGTTTTGCATTAAAGTACGTTCTCGTCTGTTCCGTCCAACTAATTTGACTTGCATGCAGAAACGGCTTGCATCCGACTCCAGGATGATCCAACTCATCTGGACTCTGGAGGGCGGCCTCCGTGGATGCAGTGAGCGTCAGCAGCCAGCGAGTGGGGCAATGGAGTCATGACAGCTCCACGCAACAGTCTGGTATTGGCTCAGTCTTCCAAGGCGGGCTGCGATGACTGCACAAAACAAATGAGCAGCGACGGAGGAGTGACCGGGGAGGGGCGGCCGGGCGAGGCGGGGAAGGAGGGCAAACGCTGGTATTCTGTTGACTCAGAAAATTCTTTGGGATTTGGTGGGTGTCAAAAAGAAATGCCAGTGAAATGCTAATTATATATATATCAACATGCAGGGAAACAAGATGCACAACATATTTTATGGCGCACACAATGTGAGAGTGTTGCATCTGAAAGGCAGCTGAAGAAGAACAGCACAGAGGATGAATGCTTCCTCAACAGCCTCCGTGGTCAGACTATATTAAATATCAGTGAGCTTTGATCCTGGATTAGCTGTACATAAATGCCAAGTATATGAGTCACGCAAATTTAATTAACCTCATTCAAAGAAACTGTACAAGAGCCAAGGACTGATTTCTGGCAAAAAAACAAAACATAACCAACATGAGCAGTGGTGGTGTGTTTACTGAGAACAACCAACCGAGCCTCATAAACAAGGGCCAGGCTCACTTCTTTCTTTTGCTAACAGAGCGTGACTGAATTAAAAAAACAAAACAAACCCTGATGTTTCTAATTTAAGGTAGCCTATTGTGTGTCTCAAAATTGTTAAATAAACAATTCTGTTTCTTGCCTATCCATCCATCATCTCTACACCTTAACCCTCACTCGGGTCATGGGAGGTGGAGCCTATCCCAGCTGACTCAGGGTGAAGGCAGGTTCACCTGGACAGGTAACCAGTCTATCACAGGGCTACACTTAGAGACAGACAACCAAGCACACTCACATTCACACCTACGGACAATTTAGAATTAACCTCAGCATGTTGCTGGACTGTGGGAGGAAGCCGGAGAACCCGGAGAGAACCCACGCTGCACGGGGAGAACATGGAGACTCCACGCAGAAAGATCCTGGGTGTCCTCACCGGGACCGGCGATCGATGGGAAATATGAACTGTACAACCGGTGCATCGAGTCTCATCTTTATGCAAAGTCATGCTTCATGTTGTCACAGCCTTTTGCCATATTTATACTAAAGCAAAGCCACCTCAAATAGTTACTCTAAGCTGGGTGGCTTTAAATAGCAAACCCATAGGTCACATTTATCAGAAAAGTTCCCAAAACAAAAATTGCACGCTGCTTCTAAAGCTGCATAAAGAGCCTTCCACGTGACAGCAATAACTAAATCTAATCTAATTAAAATGTTCTGAGTCCAGAAACCTCCGTCCAATCGAGGAAAATCTGGGCTGGATATAAAGAATGATTTTTTCTGTGCCCTCGAATAGCAACAAAGCGGCTGCATTCCTGCTCCAAACTCAAGGAGGCAACTTGTAGTGAGCAGCTGTGGTGAGCGTGTCTGTAACTGTACAGAGGTGACGCAGGGCAGCGCTTAAAAAAAAAATCTGCTGCGAAACCCGTCCTTGGATGAACCAATGCCTGAAAGAGAATATACCTTGTTTTTACAATACACAGTACAGTTGGTCAGATTGCTCAGTCGCAGAACGTGTGACTCATCCCTGAAGGATTTGCATTGTCAGTGGATAACGAGCTCTTGAGGTAATCCTTTACAACCCAGGTCAATTAGTGGAGGCAGCAGGAGTGAAGACAGATTTAAAGCTGCATTTTCTTCCTCGCTGCTCTTCAAAGGCTGCTGTATATCCGTGTGATACTTTTTCAATTAGCTAAAAACCCGTAAAACTGGAATTCCCCTCGCTGTGTGTGACGTGTGATGAGTGGCAGGATTACCATATGTTGATTTCAAAACACAAGCGAGCCACCCGATACAGTTCAAACTACTCGTTATCCCCGAAACACATAAAGACCAGACAGTGAAAGTCACATTCTTGAATTGACACCACGGGGGTTCAGACCTGGCTAGATATGAGCCTGAAGGTTCCCCATGGGGTTCTTCTATCAGTAAAAGAAAGAACTGCGAGGCGTAAATTTTTCATAGGGTGGAGGACGAGACAGGTTTCAGCTTCTGTTGCTCATCAATAAGTCATGAGAGAGAGACAAACAGAGGGGAGGAATTCATTTGCATGTTTTTGGGAATGCGGTTCACGCCATTGGCGCGTTCTGTGTGCATACTATTGGTTGTATGCAAATACAAGGTGCATCAACAGCACTTGGTTTTAAAGGTGGGGGTCTGCAATCAGACAAAGGTCCTGCAGTGGGGGTCCCCATAAAGTAGTGCTGCTAAACACCTCATCACCCAGAATCACACCAAACCATGAAAAAGGAACAGAATCTTGTCATAGGGAAGTACGTCTATCTCGAGCTGAAAGCCTGTACCTGTGCTGTCATTTTGCAATGACATCGTTGCACAACAATCCGTCAGAGCTGGCTGCTGTGTCAGGTGCTCAAAGCCTAGGGGTGTGTTACCTCGCCCGGGCAGATTCCACCTGTACCGCTTCCCTCCTTACTATGGGAAAAAAATAACTCTTCCAAAGCTTCATTCACAATGACACCCAGCTGGGAGAGTTAGCCGTGGTGTTTTCTCATTTTAAATATTAATTAGGCGGTGTGGTGCACACTGTCCTGCTCTGAGGAGGGACAGGTTACCTCAGAGGAGCGAGCGGCGCTCAAAGGCTTCAGACTCTTCAGGGCTTTTTCCTGCAGCGGGCTGCGTCTGACCGATGTTTCTCCTGTGACAGCCAAAAGCAACACTATAATCATGGTAAGATCTCGCTCTTTGTTTCTGGTGACGTGCTTGTGAAGAAGTGCAGTCGGTGCTTGTAGAGTTTTGGGGTCGATAAACTGGACTGTCTGGATAACTGTAAAGCTTTCAGGCCGCTGTCTGCACCAGTTTTATGGAGAGAGAGAGAGTCTGTGTAGAAACCAGACCTTCAGCAGAACCAGTCAAAAAGTGAAATTCTGTCGTTACATCTGGGATATACTTTCAAACACCACTGGGTGTAGTATTAGAATAAGCCGTGATAAAATAGGGTAAATAAGACCGGTTATGTAAAGAAATGGGCCAATGTACATTATTTTATGAAACCAATTACAACGGCTCCTCCCATAGAGGAAGGGCGGATGGTGCATTAAACTGAAAGGGAAGACAAACAGGCCTTAATTAAAGCACATGACAGTTCATGATTTGGTGTTTGGTCCTCTTATTTTATTGCAAAAACCTAAACGCTCACCATTTACCCAGACAGAAGGAGTTTAAGGGTTAAGTTCTTCGACTGAGCTGCATGGAAACACTGACTGGAGCTCCTCGCCAAATGAAACAAGGGCACGCAGATTTTGGAAAACCAAAAAACTGAATTCAACGGGCTCTGAAACCCACAGGGCTGGTGCGTCATTTCCCCTGGAAAACTTTGCTTGGGCCCTGCCTCCTGCTGCCTTCAAGTGTCCGAAAGAAATGTTGGAATTTTGAACACACCTCGTCCCATAAAGAATGTGCTTCAGTAAAAACAGAACAGCTGGCGCTTTTCTAAACCAGAGTCTTTGCATCTTAAGCTGACACGTTCACACACGTTTCGTCAAGAACAAAAGTTTTATTACAGAAGGCAGTTTGGGAGGAACGTTTGTCCTTGACTGGCTGCTCTTGTTGATTAAAGCGCGACTTCAAATAAAACGGCCTCACGGTGACGCTCACATGAGCAAATTTACACTCAGTCATCCCCAAGCCTCGCACATGTCTCACATATTTGACAACCAGGTGACACTTTGTCGCTTGTCGTGCAAAGCGTTGTGTCAACATCCAGAGACGTCAGCGTTGCTCAGCGTCGGTATTAGGGGTTGTTGCACAAATGAATTCCACGGTTCTTTGCATTGAAGTCATTAAACAGAAACGAGTTAATTCATGTAACGCGCCGGGTATGTCGGCCTTGTCCTTTGTTCTGCTGCTGCAGTGAAGCGACACTCTGACTGGTTTCTGAAGCGGAACAACAAACCGACTGCCTTAATAAATGTATAAAAGACACTGATATGTTCTGTATAAATAAAAACAGCCCAGACCGTTGGAATTTAAACAGCACATTCAGTTCAATGCTAAACAATGGACACAACATTAAAGTGTCACGTCTCGGCATTAGTTTTGGTTTATATCAACAGAGACACAGAATTCAAATTACAAGGCTCCAAATAATTAGACATGTGGCTACTAGATATTTGTTGGGAGGCTGCATACGTCAGTTAAGAGCTTTTTTTTTCTCTTTCTTTTATTTAAAACTGAATTTGCTGAAGCTCAGAGCCTGACTAACAATTACAGTCTGGACTGAACTGACAATAAATCACCTTCTATAAATTAACTCCAGTATGCATAAATGTACACCACACTGTAGGCTTTTAAATAAGACTTATGTGAGCAGCTTTACAGTGACTCATGGACAAACAATATGAACTACACATCCCTGCTGAACAGACAGAAAACAAATCTGCCAATAAGCCCCGGTGGAAATAATTAAGGAGAACGGGTAATATGTTATTTTCATATGACCACACAACAAAATGATTAAGAATCGACACATATTGAATATCAATATAGTACGTACACAAGACGGATGATTAAGTAAACAAATTTAGAGGGTAATTCATTCATAACTGTCTTACAAAACTGAATGTAAAATCTGACTAGAAGGGGGAAATATTATTTTCTGAGTCATTGTGTTCAATCCAAACGTGTTGCTCATGTAGAATATTAACTTTATTTAGAATTTTTGATTTTAGTTTGACTTTAAAACTGTCATACTTCTCTTTGGTACAATATCAACACATTTTGTGGATGATTAATATTTTTCTGTGCAATATCTATCTTTATTAATATACTAGAATATCTGCTAATTAATTAATCTGTGCAATATTAATACTCTATCAGTGGTGATATTCATCAAACATACATGCAATACCAATAATAATGCCACTATTAGAATTAGTACTCTTGCATATTTTGGTCTATTTTTATTTTTATACCACATTCCTTAAATATTTGCAGTCTCTGCTGCTGTAAAACTGAAACATCCCCCACTGTGGAAGCAATAAAGGCTTATCTTATCTTAACTGCGACATAAATGTGAGATAACACTTATAAACATCCTTTTGCATACTTTTGAAATGCTGTGATTTTTGCCAGTTGGTTCATAACTGATAGAAAAAGTACAAAACTGAAGACTTTACTGTCATTGGTGTGTAGAAACAATGCTCAGGCACCAGGGATGCTCAGCAAACAGCAGACAGGAATTCAAGCTAATGTGGCTAGCTGTCTGCACCCACATCACACACACACACACACACACACACACACACACACACAATAACACAACAACAACCACCACGTGTGTACACGGGCAACAGTTGGTCACGTGTCCGACAGTCCTCCACTCACCACCTACTTCCTATCTGAGGACCACCATATATTGAACTATGTTGGGAGCGCGTCGGCAAAACTAACATTTCTGGACCCTCTTCCAGCTGTTAATGACGTCACTCGCCAGCCGTTATTTGCGCCGTAGCAGCGTCGTGCGAAAACTTTAAAGTCCCAGTTTATTACGTGGCCCAGGAACAGTTAAAAATCTAATTTAACAACACAACCTAAACGGGAAACTACTCACATGTTAATGACAAGTTTTCCCGCTGACGTTCGTCCCGTTCGCGCAATGCATGACGGTACATGGTGATTGGCTACTCGTCATTGGCTGCAGGCTACTGTTCGCGGTGCATTGTGGGATATTTAAGTGCACTCTATAGGATGTAACAGTTGCAACTTCACTGTCGGACAGCGCTCCAAAATGGCGAACGCCGTCTGTAGTGTGCTATGTAGGGTGTCGCTAGCTAGCTAGCTAGCTAGTGCTAGCTTGAATTCTACGGCAAGCTAATATAGCATAACTTTATTAGCTTAACATGAAGTTAGCCTTGTAGGCAGGTAATAAGGTATTTTTTTTATTGTGTCCTAGCTATGGTGTTATTAGATGATGGTGAACATAATTTATCAAAAATATAGCCTAGACTGTTTAAAATCATATGATGTCCACGGGGGGCTTTCCTCCCATTTCAGGGGATTTTCTTACCTCAAAAGTCATACCCTCATATTTTTATGTATTACAACAAATTTATTATTTTTATTTATTTATATTTATTTATAACAATTTATTTATTTATTTATTCGTTCAAACTAATTCATAACCCTCCAAATGACGCTCACGACAAACAGAAAAAAAGAAAAGTTTGTGTATTTTTTTTTATTAAAACAACACACAGGCATTATTTTGTGTCGTCTCAAAACCACTGAGCTTGATTGTTATTTAAATATTAGCAAAACCACTATCATCCAAGAAATGAACAGATTACATCCGGTGGTCAGGAGGGTAGTTATTATCTTAATTTAACACCCTTCTTACCCTTCTCCTAATATAAAAACAAACAGGCTTAATGGGTTGATGCTGTCACTGGGCCTCCGAGGTATGAAAAAAATGTTTTAAACGCTAACAGCAGCCAGTCATATAACGAGAGCTGCATCTAAAACTGGAAATTAGTCATCAGCCAAACAAATATCAGCTAAATGACGTGGGAAACCCGCGTGTTTACCAACCGTCTCCATAGTGACGCTGGTGCGGAAGTTTACGAGCAGCACTTGAAGGCATCACTTTAGCACCGGTGCTGCCGCGCGCCGCTGCAGGGGCAGAACTTCAGTCTCATACCATCAATGCCACACAGTGCGCGCGCTGCCGTTGTGGATGCTTTACTGGAGGCGAGAAGGACTAAAAACGCAACATGTCCCATCAGTTAGAAACAGCATCTCAGTGAGGATCTGAAGCTTACAAGTCGGTTTACACGCTGGAGGCGAGAGAAAAGTTTTCTTCTGTGTGTAATTAAGGGTGAGTTGATCTTGAAATGACCGCTCTGAGTTACAGAGTTATGTGTGTGGATCTATCAATGTGCTAAAGGCAAGAGTATCTCCTTTTTTTCTTTTTTGTTCTTGTGATATTTTTTCTGCTTTTTCACACTGCTGTTGTTTATCCTGTTGGAATGATTTTGTGTTTGTTTTATGCTCTGTAGGAGTTTTTGTTCTAAACCAAAATCATGTTCACAACCTACATAAAGAGTCTGAATGATATGGTATTTTCTACGGTAAGCTTACAGGTTATAAGCACTCCTGCATGTTATGCTGAGAGATGCATGGCTGTACTAAAACAAACAAACAAACAAACAAACAAAAAAACATGTCTATGAACATCCTTAATTTTATTTTCCTTGGTTTTTAAAGCCTGCACTTCTTTGCTTTGTTCATAGACCACTCATGACATTTGCACAACCATCCTTTTATGTAAAGTTTGCGCATATTCACTTCAGAAATATGCATGTTTATCATCAGCAACCGCATGTGCCGGCAGGTATTTATGTGCTATTTCTCTGCTTTTCTTCAGTCTGAGACCCCCGAAGAGCAGCCAAGTACTGGAGTTCTGGGTCGTATTGGCAGCTGGTTCTCTCCGTGGAGGGGAAAGCCACCAAAAAGTTCCTCTGAAAATGATTCCCCAACTAGCGATCTTAAATCAGAGGCAGAAGAGGCGAGTGAGGAGTTTGTGAGACCTCAGGCAAGGGGACAACAGTGGGAGAAGGAGGAGGAGGAGAATCCCAATCCACTGGGTCTCTTCAGAGACGTTTTCCCCAGTGAAGACGAGGACGCCACGCAGTCTGCCCACAGAGTCGGCTCTGTTGTGAGCAGCACTCAGACACGAGAAGGAGGTCCAAGAGAGGAGGAGCCTGCAGAGAGCAGGAAGCAGAGAACAGGGCAGGGCAAGGAGAGGGAGGAGAGCAGCAACGGTGCTTCAGCGAGTGGGAATCCTGAAAAGAATGCCAGTCATCTGACACATCTCTCCTTCACTTCTAAACAGGGAGTGGTATGGGACTCTGACCAGGCCAACACCCCGCCTCAGGCCCAGAGACAAGCCCATACCGGCAAGAGGCTCCACGTGTACCTGGAGGAGACCAGCGTAACTCACTGCGGCAACGACAAACTTGCCGGTCAGGAAGTTGTCTGCAAAACACTCACAAAAAGCCTACAGGTCCTCCCCAAGGCAAAGTCATTGACAAGATTAGATGTACCAAATAGCTCAAGTGCAGAGCACGAAAGGACAGATGTGGGGCCTGCTGCTGGTGCACAGAGTTACTACAGCGCTGTAGTGGGAGTGTCACTGAAATCACACAAAGCCTCACAGTTAGAGCCTGAACCTGCTGGAGAACAAACAGAGGCCGACAACATGGGGCGTAAAAACGCATCCAGGAGGAAAGTCAGGAAGAACTCTCAGGGAGATGGAGGGAGTAGCCCTCTGGAGAAAGTGCCCCCAAAAGAGCTGCCTGGGGCGCAGGGAAAACCTACATCCAATAACTCAGTCAGCAGTCCCCAGGGCAAAAGTCCAAAGACTCACATGAGAGAGGCATCTGCAGGCTCCTCCTCCAAGCCTAACCCCTCCTCACAGGCCTCACCTGAAGGAGGAGGAGGAGGAGGAGGAGGAGGGCAAAGTAAGATTTCCTGCCCCGCGACGGTCAGGCAGTTGGACAACTTCCAGGACTCAAAATCAGTCACTGCAGAGACTCAGGCATGTGTGGCGGATGGTGGCGCAGACATGGAGGACGATGACAGCTTTTACAAAGTGGAACGGAAGACGGAGACGCCAGAGTCCAAACGCAGGAGTCTGAAGGTTTCCCGGAGCGAGGTGAAGCTTTTTCCAAAACATGTGCCTTTCAATCCTAAAGAAAGCCTCGTGGAGGAACACCGGGAATATAACGCAGCTTCACGGGACACCAAGGATGAAGCAAAGGATGAGTCCAAAACAGAGACTGATTCCCGGTGAGTTCAAGTCAGAAAGAGGAAAGTGTTTGATGTGTGAGGGAATAACACAATAATTTGCCAAATATTTATGAACTGGGGTGTATGAAGCTTTGTGTCAGTAATGCAGTCCACATAATATGCTGTTTTTGTCAGAGTAGTTGGGTTAAATATTTGATTTAACCTGCGTACCTTCATTAGCTGACAGTTCACCCACCTGTAGCTTTTGTTTTACATGGATTTGCTGTCAAAGCGGGCAGTGTATGTCAACTGCTGTGGGTGGAAAAAAAAGACAGGTGTATCCACAGTGCAACAATGGTGTGAGTCATAACACAAAGTTCAGACCCGCGCCTCGGGGTTGGTCTTGTAAAGTATAGATCAAATCGAAATCTGGGTCAGATTAGTCTTATCTTTGGGTCGTGAACAAATCATCCAGCGATTAAAGTAATTAAAAGAGTTTGAGGCAGGTGTGCTCGTAAAAAAACAAAACTCAAATGACTTTACATGTTCCAAGGTTTTTATTTCAAACGTTTGTCTCTCGTTTATCACAGAGTACGCGGCCAGAAGACAGCGGATGAGGCGCCAAAGCAAGTCGTTGGCCGGATCAAAGATAAGATCAGCCTCTTTGAGCAGCAGCGACCCGCTGGGGGCAACAAGCAGACCTTCCGAACCCCGAGGAGCGCCGATGCCTCTCCAGCCAGAAACGCAGCCGACAAGTTGAAGGCAGAGTTTCTGTTGTCAGAACAGAGGTCCAGATCGGCCGAGCGTTACGGCCAGTTCCGGTCCAGCTCTGCGTCACCTGCCAGGGAGAAGCCGATGTCGATCAAGGAACGAGTGCAGAGGTTTGTAGAGGCGTCTGGGTCGGATTCTAAACCGGCGCTGCCTAAAACACCAGCCACGAAAGGAATGTCTCGAAAACCCACCTCATCTGCTGCTGCATCGGAGCCACCAGAACTGGACAGTCAGGGTAAACTGGATGCGAAAGAGCAGATAAAGAAGAAACCAGTGTCTGAGGCAAAGTCAAAACCAGAAGAACGAGATACCACTGCTGTCGGGGTACAGATTTCCACTCCTAAGGAACAAATAACAGACTCAGAAACCAAGCAAGCAGCAGCGAGCTCAGAAGCAGCACATAAGGACACGAAACCTAACAGCGTTCAAACAGATGCTCCAGCTGAAGAGCCGGGTGATTCCGCAGAACAGAGCGGTGATATTAGCCCTCACTCGAAAGCCCCGAGCAGAACAGGCTCCCGCTCGAAAAAAAGGAAAGGCAAAGAACCAACCAGTCCCATCAGCCCCAGCAATCAAAACAAACCCGAGTGCTCGAGCAGCAAGCCAAAGGTCACTGAGATAAAACAAGAGCAGGTGGAGGAAGCAGGGGAGAATAAATCTACCTCCAAACAACTTGCAGAAAACATCTCATTACCATCTAATAAAGTCCAAGGAAACGCGACGGACAAACAGCCGACGAGCGACACCAAACAGAAAGCGTTTAAAAAGGAATCGGAGGCATCGGACAAACACGAGAAACAGCCAGATGCTTCATTTAAAAACAAGAATATTGACAAACCAATCAGCGGAAAGGAGGGATTGCCTGAACCGTCTGTCAACAAAGATGAACCCGATACCGCTGCTGCTTGTAGCGCTGGAACAAAGAAGCCTATTGACAAGGATTCCGTTATTTTACCTCAAAAGGAGGAAAAAGCAGAGGAACACAGCCTCGTATTCACACTGGAAGGAAAAAAGGCCTCTGAGGACAGCAGAGAAACTTCAGCCTCCTCCCCCTCACCTTCGCCTGAAAAACCCACGGAGAAGTCTCCTGCAGTGGGGAAGGATCCACCTGTTGAACATCCCAAATTAGAGAAACAAGTGCCAATAAAACCTGAGTCAAAAAGCAAAGCGAAAGGAGAGAAGCCCAATAAAAAGGAAGCAGGGCCATGCAAGGACACGGGGCCAATAAATCAGGCTGAGAGTAAAGAGGTGGAGAAATTAGACAAAGCGTCGGGCAAAACAAACAAGCAGACTAAAGAAGAAGGCAAAGAAAAAACCCAGCAGCCTCTGGCTTCAGATGAAAGTACAACAAAGGGCAAAGTTTCAGGCATCTCAGGGAAAGAGGGGAGCGCTGCAGGAAAAGCTGAAAGACGTGAGACACAGCCGGTTAAAGACACGACAACACCAAAAGCCATCCAAGCGGGGTCTGCGTCTGACTCTTCAGAGAAGGCCGGCGGATCATCAGGCGTTCCTGTTCAAACACAACGTGTGAGTAACACAGAGACCGCACATCCAGAGAAGGCTGCTGCTGTACCTGCTATCAGCCAGACTAATGAGGCTGTGAGGAGCGCTAAGAGTGATAAAGGGCCCGAAGCAGAGACGGCTACAAATGTGCCTCCGGAGCTGCAAACACAGCCGACAGAAAGCCCTGGAACAAAAACAGAGCCAGTGGTGATTGCAGCAGAACCACAGCCTAATTCTGTATCTGTGGAAAAAACAGAGAGTTCACTCGATGACTCATGTACACATGGAGCTAATGATGCAGCGCCGTCCAGCTCCAAGCCTATTACCAAAGCACCTACAGCAGCAGAGGAAGTGAGTGTAAAAGTGGCAGAGGACAGTCCGAACGCTGCACAGACTGACGTGACGAGTAAGGAAAAGAAAGAGCCGTCGGTTAAAAAGGCTTCTCCTCCTGTTTCTGCCTCTGCAAGCACAGAGGGAGCAGGACGGGATCACCGGGGAAAAGGTCCAGCTGTCAAACCGGTGCCCTCAGAGGTCAAAATCTCAGGAGACATAATGAGACCAGCTTCTAGCCACCCACAAACTGAGGCCCTAAAAAATAAAGAGGGCACGAGTAATGCTGCTCCGGTCAAGGATGCAGAAAGAATGAGTCACAGCCCGTCTAGCAGGACTGCTTCAAGCTCAGCAGTCAATGCAGCGGAGAAGTCAGCTGAGAAAACACTCAATGTGCCCGTCAATGAACTTTCGCTTGTCGGTAATGGCGATAATTCAACACGTTCAAAACAGGAACCAGTCAATATCAAGCCGAGTCAGACTCAGAAAGCACCAGCTTCCCCAGAGGCTAATAAGCTGCACTCAGACACAATCCAGCGTTCACCCATGAAGAAGCTCCATTTGCCACGGGGGCTTAGCAAAGATGATTCCTCACAGCGGCAAGACGCCCCCTCTAGCTGGCTGGATGTGGACTTTCCCAAAAAGAAACTTAGAGTCCCAGAGGGAAAACTGAAGGCGTCAGGAAGTGAGAGCAATCTTCTCGACACCTCTGCTGATCTGGATGACGAGGATTTCATTGAGAAAATCAAGAACCTGTGCGTCCCGTTCTCCCTCCCGCCGCGTAAACACAACCACCTTCGGCCTCCTCAGCCCCCCTTTGCAATGCCGGCCATTCGAGAGGACCGCTTCGAGAAGACGTTTGACCCTGAGGAGTTCACGTTTGGCTTGAGGAAGAAGGCTCTTAACACCATAGAAACAACCCCGAGCATTTTAGCCAATATCCAGCACAAAGACACAATAGCGGGCCTGAAGCCTGCCAGGGCGAGTCTGGCTGACAGGAGCATGCTGCTCAACAGTCTGGACACTCACTCTCGTCTCAGGGAGAAGGTTCCCATAAAGGATGAGGAGGACGCAACGGAGGAGAAGAATGATCAGGTCAAGGTGAAGTCTCGCTTGGAGAGGAGCGGCATCCTCAGCAGCCTCTCCTCCTTCAACTTTAGAGGGAAGAGGAACGGAGCTGAGGCGCCGGCGGAGGGCACCGGCTCTGGGAATGTGTCGCCCAGCGAAGCCGCCCGGCTCAGCCCTTCATCTTCATCCCAGTCGCCCTCTCCCAGCCCGACTGCCTCAGCCCCAATCAAAGACATAATGCCTAAGCAGAGTGCAGAGGAAGCGCCGGATGCTGAGGTTGTGGTCTGTGACTCAGGTCCTCCACTTCCGTCTTTTAACGACATCAAGCTGCCCGACTATTTAGAGAAGTACCTCCCTCGAGATCAGGCAAAACCAGTGCAGAGCGTGCAAGGACAGGAGCAAGTCAAACCGGAGGTTAGTTTCACTGTATGTAGCTGAAAGTGACGTGAATATCATTTTAGTTTTCTTCACAACACATCGACAAAACACATCCAGCAAGTACAGACGAGTTGAAACACTCGAAGCTGTTGACTAACAACTAGAACAACTAAGTATGAAGAGCTTAATGACGGCGTTTTAACATGTTGTAACTGTGCATGTCACCTAATGTTGACATAAAAATGACAATAAAAGTCATCCAAGTGTGTGTCATTATCAGACAGACACACTGACCAGATTTTGTATTTACCTGACTCTTTGATTTATGCATCAGTTAACAGGAAACATGTCAGCTCCTGTTGCTGGAGGTGAAGCCGAGCCGGCTGTGAAACCAGCTCCGGTGCTTCCTAACGCCAAGGCTCCGTCTTTTCCTGGGATCCCTCCAACCACAAACCCAGCGCTCCCCGAAGTTAAGCAGCCTCCGGCGCAGCCACAGGGGATACTTAGAAGTAATGTAAGTGTGCTGCATACATTATTAAAGCACGCATAAGAGTTTAAAATCACATATTAGAGTGTCAGCAAACAGGCCTGCCTGCTGCGATGGCAAGTGAACTGACTGATGTCCTTAATTTCCCTTAAAGCATGGTCATCATTAGAGAAGCTTACCTGTCCACCCTGATGCTGCATTTCTGTCTCACTTATCCCTTTGAAGTTATTTGGGAGAGTAAACTGAGCTGTGCTGGGCTCAGAGCTGCAGCTAATGATTATTTTGGTGATGTTTTATTTTACTCCACTACAGCTTAATCATTTTCAAATGATTTTCTTGGATAGACTGTGATTTGCTGCTAATCGCAGAGGACAAAGGAATTTCATTGAGACAGTAGCACCACTGGGACCCATGTAAACATTTGTTCAGTGGCTGTTTTATGACGACAAAGGCCGTGCACATGCTGAATTGTACGTTTGCCTGCAGACTAGTTTTACTGCAAGCTGCTATTAAGAGTAATCTGACTGAAAGTTTGCTGTTTGGACATTTCCTTGATGTTAGAAGATGCTGAAAAATGGTCATTACGGTTTCCCAAAGCGTGTTTAAATTGCTTGTATTGTCCAGCCGACCCACAGTAACGCTGCTGACAATCAAAGAATACTGAGAAAATAAGCAGATGCAGCTTGAGAAAGTGTTCAGCCTGATTGCATGAAAATCATTACCTGATTATAGAAACTGTTCTAGTAGCAGCAGCAGCGTACATTTTTCAGCTCTTTCGCTGCCATTTCGAGCTGCCAGACTCGCAAGGCCCCTTAGAGGGTTAAGAAACTCTGCTTTTGGCTGGGTTGCCTCTCAGTGTGTTGTGCGACTACGAAATCAGAACAGCGCTGCTCTCCACAGACCCACTGTGCCCATGGAAGTAAACCGAAAGGTCAGGATATTGAATAGGCACAAAGCTGCTGCACAAACAAATGCAGATGAGCCTCCTTTGCATTTTGTTGGCGTGCGCCGCGGTGATTGTCGCAATCTCAGTTATGTGTCTTTTGCATTCCAGATAAGAGCCGTCAAAGGATTTCACAAGCGTCCCGGAAAGGTACAGTTGGCATGGCTTTGCCCACACAGAATAGAAACAAGATGGAGAGAGGAATCTGGACAGACAACTCTCTGTTCTGTAGCAACATCTGCTTTTCATATGGTGTTCTTGGGGGTAAACAAAGTATAAAAAAAAAAAAGAAAAGAAGAAAAACAGTCCCGTGCAAATGCTCAGCTGGGTGCAATTACAATCATGGAATTCAGTGCTGCCAACACAGTGCAAATCTTGTGGTTCTTCATTATTGCAGAACTTCATTAGTTGTTGTTGCAGCAAAGTATTCTCCCGGCGCTCAGAATTTCTCAGAGTTGCCCACACATCAGTTATTCATTAATTCAATCTACCTTCTGCTTCGGCTGTGCAGGGGATCCACCGTCATGACTGGCACTGATAGAAAAAAACACAAATGCATGAAAGATTCTGATTTTTGGACTAGAGGGCTTTTAGTTTATACGTTTTATTGACTGCATAGTGTTCAGCTGCCAGTTCTTGTAGTTCATTATTCACAAAAGTCTACTTTAATACAAAAATGTGATGCATTAAATTAGCAGCACACTGTAGTAGTCCAAGTCATTGTGTGTGCTTTGTTGCTATAGATGAACAATGCTCTTACTGTAGCATAAAAAGGGAAACAAAGTTAGAATGTCATGCTTTCAGGGCTTTTTTCAGCACTCAGCGAATCCTGATTTAATGTGACAGATTTAGCAAGCGATGCCATTATTTCTGCTCACGGTGAATGTGTTGATTTCTGTTTTTTTCTGACGCTGCCCTTCATGTCTCTGTGCAGATGGTGTTGTTTGAAAAAGCTCAGTTCAGCGGCCAAGCATATGAGATTTACAGGGATGTAGCAGATGCTACGTCTCTGCAGCTCTCGCCTCTCGTATCTGTGAAGGTCGTTAGAGGATGGTAAGTAGCAGAATTCAACCAGAACTTTCAGATGACGGAGAGAAAATGTGTTGTGAAGTGTGCTTCTAATTAGTGTCAAGTGGGTTTGAGAAGGCCGGTGTTGCCAGCTAAGGCTCCTCACAGGATTAATTTAATGAAATATTAGCATCGAGAGCCCCGTACTTGCTTAACTGCACTCCTTTTCTGCACGTCTTCCTCTGAACATTTTTGAGAGAAAAGCTTCTGTTTACATTCAGCGTCATGTGTATGTTTGTGGCCTGGCAAACATGTCGGCTGCTCACTTAGCTGCAACTTTTGCAGATGTTCTCTCTTTTTTTAGAAACCGTTTAACTGGATGTTTTTCTTACTGGCAGTCCCTCTTCTTCCCTGCTTCTGCTGACCATCGCTGCATTTCTTGACACGGTGCTGCCACTCGTAGATCACCAGCATAGTGTGAAACCGCCGGCAGTTATGGGCCTCACATCGCACATGTGTTTGCGCGTCCTGAGCTGCACAAGCTGAGCTGCTCGTACTAAATCGCTGTGTAGTGCTACTGGTGGTGAAACACTGCTTTGACATTCGAGCTGGAACTCCACAGTTTTGCTCTCCCAAATATAGCTAATGGGACAGTTGCACCAGTTTCCTGCACATTTATGTATTTAAATAACCGCTGTGGCAACTTAGAACACATAAATAGGTGGGTGTAGTTTAATTTCCTTCAGTTCAGTTAAGACAGCACAGAGGACACGACCAGAAGTGAAGAATGAAAGTGTTTTTCTCAGCTTGATTCCAGAGCTGTAAAGACGAGAACCCAAATTAGGAATTGATTGTGCTCTGACCTTCGGCAGCCACGTCCAGACGAACTAAATGAGCGTTTTATCATCTCAATCTGTCCACCCAAGATTCTCAAAAACTCATTCACTTCAAGCAGGACTATCATAACAGCCTCTCGTCTTGTCTTTTCAAAAACAGCATCAGTGGACTTGATTTCGAGAACCAAGACAGCCGATTCTCAGTTTCCTACAGTTTTACTCTCAATTACTTAAAAATACACATTAAAGTGCTGCTTCTGGTTTACAGATCACTCAGTAATCTCAGGCCAAAACATATTTTCTGACCTCTTTGAAGAACATAAACCCAGTGGGGCTGTTGGACCTTTAGGAAGTAGTTAACGGATAGAACCTTGATGCCCGATCCAAACAGGATGAAGCTGCGTTTAGCTATTATGCCGCGCACAGATTGAACCGACTTCCTGATTATCTCAAACGTGCGCTGAACTGTAGCCAATTTTAAAAACTAAATTAAAAATCCTGCTGTTCACTTGTGATTTCTCTAATGTGCTTTTAATTCCTTTGCTGCTTCTGGGGCCACTACAGCGGTATTTCTGATCTGCTGTTACCGTTGTCTGCTTCTGTAGTGCTTTTAATTTGTCTTCTTTTAGAAAATCTAATCCTGTTCTGTCTTAACTGTTTGTTCTCTGCTATGATTGGCCGTTAAGCCGAGCCGGCAGCGAGTGACACGAGGAGGTTTCGAGGACACAGTGTGTTGTTTTTACACCTTGCAGCGGATTAATCGGACAAGATATTAACGTGTTAGTTAGTGAGCTGTAGAGGAGGGAGATAACCGGCTGCAGATGTATTTTGGATGTATGTTGTCATCTTACAGCAAAGAAACCAAATTAGTGTCCAACAAGCTCCATGTATTGATATAAAACAGGCTGTTCGTACTTTATTCCCAAAACCTCGCCGTGTTTCTTCCATCTGGTAACATGTGCGGCTTTGTTTACAGCTGGGTGCTCTACGAGAAGCCCGACTTTCAGGGACGCACCATCGCCTTGGAGGAGGGGAGCCTAGAACTGGCAAACGTGTGGGCCGAGCAGGAGACGCAGGACGAACCGCACAACAGCCCGCCGATGCAGATCGGCTCCGTCCGGCTCGCCGTCGATGTGAGTGCACTGCTGATGCCCTTCCACGCCGGAGGTCCCCGCGCTGGGACCACGTCGGGTCTGTTCTTAGAATGCAGCCGTTTCCAGAAGTTGAAGGAAGAGGCAGCCTCGTGCTGCTGAAGTGAATGCAGCGTTTGTTGTGCTTCTTTGGCAGAGTTGAGGCTTTTCAGATCGGGTTTGATAACATCAGTCCCACTGACTCATTGTCATAAGACGAGTTATTTAATCGCTGATTTACAGTAGGTGGCAGTAAACAGTTTTTTTGCTGGGATTCTGCAGATCTCACTCTGGCCCGGTGATGGAAGTTCTCCTCTCCGTCGAGCCCAAGGCTGCTCGTTCTGGCCTCACACTTGTGGAGCTGTTAGTGAAATGTTTTTAAAATATATTTTTTTTGGCTTTATTTAGAGCAGTAGAGAGAGACAGGAAAGGGGGGAGAAGAATGGGGACAGACCTGCAGCAAAGGGTCTTGAGCGGGATTCGAACTCATGACCGCTGCATCGGGGAACTATAGCCCCTGTTCATGGGTCGCCCGCTCAACTAGGTGAGCTATAGGGGGGCCCCAGTGAAATGTTTTTAAGGTGAACATTTCAAGGAAGGCTTCAGGGGTTCACTGCCTCCCCCTCCTCTGTCCTTCATTATCTTCATCATCTTAGGCTCCCGTTAGTTTTGAGATGTGGCTAATTGGCCACGTTGCTTTATTGTCCTTCAGTCCAGACTCCAGAAGGGAAACGGATGAGACTCTACCAGTTACGGAGTGATTGGGAGCTAATATAGGCCACTGCTGATGATGCCTGTGTTTGTTTCCCTCTCTCTGTAGGATTACAGCATCCCTCATATTGATCTGTTTTCTGAACCGGAGGGCCGCGGCAGAGTGACGCCGTACCACGACGATGCAATAGAAACCGGTTCATTCGGCATGCTGCAGAACACGGCTTCCATCCAAGTGCACTCCGGGGTGTAAGTATGATGTTCTCGGGGGGTGGAATTGTCGTTTTATTTCAAATATAATACAAGCTAAAGATAAAGACTCGTAGGCGATGAGGCAATCTCAGGTGTGGTAAAGAGTAGAAATCTGTCCTGCTGCGCTCAATCAATGCAGCGCCGTCTTTTTAATGGGACTGTGTTTGGCGCCGACAAATAGCTGAGACACAATAACCATTACTACGTTCCTCTGTGTTTATCTTAGTGTTTGGTTTGACTCGCACTCGGATGCCTCCTCAGGAATGTCTGTCCTGCTGTTGCTTGTTCGAAAAGACGCAGAGTGGGTGTTGGGGCACTTGGAAAGCCGAGTAGCGAGAGAGGAGGAGACTAGACAGAGGAACAGACAAAGGTGTGGAGAGAATTTGGCAGAGGGGGAGAGTGTTTTTCCGTGTAAGAGGTGGAGGCCTGCAGGACATTCTGTGCCCTGCCCCTGAAGGAAATGAATGACACTGAACCGCTTTCTCCGCCGCCAGCTCTTGTAGTTTCACTTTGGCACCTTTGGTGGAATCATTACATTTTCAGGATTCTTTTAGAACCTCACAACATCAACAGCTGAACTAATTGCCATTAAATGCCGGCTCATCTCCGCCGAACAAGCAATTACAAATAGTTTTACATCAGCAGCTCCTCCTACGGTGAAACAACTGTTGAGCAGATGTAAACCAACCTAGGTCGCTTCACCGAGAGACGGCACTCACCGGCCCGCGTTATTGTCCACGAGAAGGTTGGCATCGCTGCTCGGCATCACTTTTTTAGCGCTGCCTGAATGCGCCGGGTTTATTTTTCCTGCCAGAGGCTGGCATGTGGCGGTTGGTATGCGGCATTGTGCGAGGCCACACAATGGCTCAAAGTGCCAGAGTTTGGGGGGCACAGCTCCAACAAAGGCGGCCCACGCTAAATATAAATTATAAAGAAAAGCACTTTGAACTGAAGCATTTCATTCCCAAGATATGCAAATCTAAAAACAGCCAAATAGCTTTTGTTCTCTGCTCTTGTTGCATGACTCACGTCTGAGGAAGATATAGAGCGAAACCCAAACAAAACACTGCAGGAAAGTAATATTACTCAATGCACGGAGGAAAAACGATCAGTTATGTCTGTCTGTGTTGTAAAAAAAGAAAAAAAACTACACATTTCTACGTGGGAACAAATATCAGTGTTATTTTTTTTTTTTATATAACAACTCTTTTACAAAACTAACAAGCTGATAAAGGTCGTGACTCACACTGATTTTTTAAACCACCAAGAGGCATCGTTACGTAAAATGTGGAAGGACCTTTTGACTTGATGGTTAATTAACATGCCATGTGCGTGTTCCTGCTCCCTTCAGGTGGCTGGTGTTCAGTGATCCGGGCTTCCAGGGCATGATCGCTGTGCTGGAAAGGGGAGCGTATCCTTTCCCTGAGACCTGGGGCTTTCCGTCCCCCTTCGTGGGATCTCTAAGACCACTTAAGATGGTGCGTATGCGTTAAAAGCAGAGTTTGGAGGTTAATTTGCTATTCTGGCAGCGTGGGTCCAAGGCAGAGACAAATACCTGTCGATTGTGCTGCCGTGAACTTTTGTTCAGTCGTCAGAGTTTCAGAGAGCATGAAGCCTACAGACTCCTCAGATTGTTCCTCTTGTACCACATTTTTGCTTTTTTGTAAAACTCGTTCTGCAACTATGCAGCACATTGCATTCAGATAACCAGGGCTTTATTTATGATGCATGTGAAAGCGTTCACCCTCCTCTGTGAGACAATGCTGGTTGATAATGATGGTGCATCTTTTTCAGGGTGGCTTCAAAGTGGAGAATCCGAATGAAGTCAAGGTACGCACAGCTTCCTTCACCATTTGTTTTTACCTCACTTAGCTATGATGAAGTTAAAGCAGTGAAATAACCGAATGAACCACTGTGTAGGGGATCCTGCTCTATAAAAGGCTTACTGGCGCTGCTCGTTACATTCTTTGGCCCGTTGTTCCTTTAGTTTAGCTTATTTCAGACCGAAAGCAGATGTAGTGTCGAGGAATTTCCAAAGACTGTGCGCATTTTCTAGCCCACGTCCCAGAATGTGAGCTACATGATCTTATTTTAGATTCAGCGTTTCGTATTGTCATTCAGCCGTCGTACAAGGTGAAAGTCACTGAAGCATTCCTTCAGTCGTGCTCACAAACAGACGAGCTTCGCTTCGACGCTTGTGTGTATTTATTAAAAATAAACAAAAGTAAGATATTAATTTTAAAAAATCATTACTTGAGCTTACCTTTTATACTCGATCCCATTTGGATAGAAATGTTTTATTATAATCATGAAAAGATTAAAGTTGTTTAAGCGACCGATCGTGAGTCAGCAAGTAGAAAAAAAATACATCAGTTAGAAGTTTAATATCAGTTAATCTGCTCAACGAATGTAAATGATGAGTCAGCTTAATGTCTGTCTGTCTGTCTGTCTGTCTGTCTGTCTGTCTGTCTGTCTGTCTGTCTGTCTGTCTGTCTGTCTGTCTGTCTGTCTGTCTGTCCGTCTGTCTGTCTACCTGTCTGTCTGTCTGTCTATTTACCTGTCTGTCTGTCTATCTGTCTGTGTTGCAGGCTGTGGTGTACGAGAAGCCCGGCTTCGACGGCTCCTGTATGGAAATCGACGGCGACGTTTTCAGCTTTGACGAGAACGAAGGAGCGATTTCTGCAGACGAAGAAAACCTCGACTCAAAGAAACTGACGTCTGTGGCTTCTCTGAAGATCACCGGAGGATTGTGAGTCCTCTTTTTTTCACAGTTCATTCTCCTTTGCTTCTAGCTGAGTGGTAATCTTGGCTCGCAGCGAAAGTTTATTCAGGACTAACTTTGGTGCCAGATTGTGATTTTAAAGTTATGCAAACCAGTCAACGTCTAGAAATGCAGCCCTGACCGACGACACTTTTCTCCTCCTCCTTCCTCCAGCTGGGTCGGCTACAGCGAGCCCGGCTTCGAGGGTCAGCAGCACATCCTGGAGGAGGGAGAATACCTGGACTGCAGCGCGTGGGGCGGCTCGGAGCTGCTGTCACTGCGACCGATTCTTTCCGTGAGTACTGTGCACCAACACGCCTTTGTGGAGACTGAAGCAGCTTTCACCAGCATGAGGTGAATAGCGACCGTGGAGTGATGTTTAAATTATAGCCTGAGCGCCACGGGTTTGTTGAAGGTCGGAATTTGTATTAAAAATAGAACCCGTTCTGTCCAGAAGTGTTTATTCTAGTCAAGGTGGAAAATCTATGTAAAATCATTCAAACCGTGGGAGAGCAAAACTTTCCACATAAACACTCGGAGTGCAGGGTTAGCCGGCAGGGACACACACCCTAACTATCAGATGTTTAGCCTCTGAATCTGTACCGGAGTATTGGCTTAACAAAGAAATGAAAAATGAATAAACTTTACAATATCAGCAGCAGGCGTCGCTGGCTCCTGAATGCATTAAAGGAAAACTTGTTACTGTAGATATCGACCGCCTGTACATGGCAACGGTCGGTGTACTCATCCATAGGGCCGAGGAAATCAACACAAGAATAGAAACAATCAATACGTACTTCCCCTGTGTGACAGTGGCTGTCCAACGCTGCAGAAATAAATCAATGTCTTAGGTAAAATGACTTCGTAATCAAACCGCAAAGCAGTAGCTTCTCGAGGGTTCACTTTCATTTTGTGTCCAGACACAGTTTTTTGTTTTGCCAGTTTCTCCCGAGTCGTGTTCTCGCTGACACGCTTTCAAAGAAACAACAGTCGATTTCACAGCTAATTTCCTCAGTATTATTAGTGATTGTTGAAAAAAATAAAATCAAACCGGTGACACGCTGGGTGTTTTTCTGCCTCCTGAGTGGAGCACAACAGAAAAGGTTTGAGAAGCACCGTTTGCTGCAGCGAGTGGTCGTTTTGGGACGTGCCCTGGTGTGTTGCTCATCAAGGTTTTCACCAGATGATTTCATGTCCGCCCACAGGATTTCATGTCTCCACACCTCAAAATGTTCAGCGACAGAGATTTCGGCAAGCTGGGAGTAAACGTCGACGTCACAATTCCTGTTATTAACATGGATGACACGGGCTACGGCATGAAGACGCAGTCTGTCGACGTCGCCGGTGGCGTGTAAGTGATGCGTTTTATTCTCATGCGTTTTTCTCTCTGTGCCCCTTCAGTATTTCATGAGCAGTACTGGAGAAGAAAAGGTTAAGAGCAGCTCATAGCATTCTTTTATTTTTTTACTTCAGCTGAAGTATTTTGGATCTCTTCTGAATTCTTCAGATATCTTTTCTCTGAAATACTTGAGGTGCATTCTCAGAAAGTCTGCTTGATTTCCCACCTGTCCTGCTGCTGCTGCTGCTGCTGCTGCACTGGAAATGAAAAACAAAACAAAACAAAAATATAAGAAATGGTCAAGTGACTGCCAAACAAAAAACCCCAAGCCGAATCCAAAAGCTAAAGTAAAACAGCCTAAGTGCACAAAAATAATACATTTACAGACGTTTCTGTCGTTCTATGTGTGTCAGTACAACACATGCTCACATGTCTTCGTTTTAAAGACGAATAAAGCGCACTATTGATCTAAAAACACTTTAATTTATTCACAGGAAAATGTATAGTATCGATCATCCATCCATTATCGATACACCACTTAATCCTCACTAGGGGGGCTGGAGTCTATCCCAGCTGACTCAGGGTGAAGGCAGGTTCACCTGGACAGGTAACCAGTCTATCACAGGGCTACACTTAGAGACAGACAACCAAGCACACTCACATTCACACCTACGGACAATTTACAATCACCAGTTAACCTCAACATGTTTCTGGACTGTGGGAGGAAGCCGGAGAACCCGGAGAGAACCCACGCTGCACGGGGAGAACATGGAGACTCCACGCAGAAAGATCCCGGCACGTGAGCCGGGATCTTCCAGCTGCAAGGCGACGGTGCTAACCACCAGTATCAACCAATTCTTCACAAATAATTCTGCAGAGCACCTCAGCAGTAACTGAAAAATAAAAATGGCCTTTTTTAAAAAAAATAATCTTTTTTTCATAAATGGGCCAAAATACCACCTCAAAGGTCTGCTGCTGCAGAGCTGGAGGGTCCAGAGGGATGCAACCTGCCTGAAAGATTCAACCGCTGTTGGATTTATTGAGAAACGTTGGAATGTAGAAGTAGAATAAAATGTAAAAGCAAAAAGACAGAAAAACATAAAATTGATGGTATGGACATAAACCTTTTCACAAAGAGCTTCATACTTAATAACAGATAATTATTGTCACTTTACTGACATTTGTAAGCAGTTTAAGAAGACAAAAAAAAAATGCTGCATAGTTATTACAGTAAATTTTCCATAAAGGGAAAAAGAAATTGTTGGCATAAAACTTAAAATAACTGTTGGTTTGTTCATATACAGATAATGTCTGTAACTTTACAGATTCTTAAAAAAAAAAACAAAATGCTGCTAGCTTTAGGAGTTAGCTTTAGATTTGTTTTTACAGTGCAACAGAGCACGACTTACCCTGTAATTACAAAAGCTGAGGCCACTGTTCCTGGGAAGCCTCTTGTGGTTTATTGACACTCAGGTGCGTAACGGTAAGGCGGCCACGCCCGCGCTGACAGGTCGAGACAGATTTCATCTTTCACTGATGGTTTAGTCGGCCACACCTCACCCCCCGCCACTTTACGTTGACCTCAGAGCGCGCCGACTTATGAAGCGGGAAGTAATCAGCTTTAATTTTGTTAACAAGAGATGTTTTTATGTGTGGACGGTGTTTCTCCTGGAAAGTGTGATTATTACATAATGTAGGAAAAGTAGAATATTCAGCCTTTTCTGCTCCTGTCAGCCGCGTCTGTGTGCAATAATCAGCTGATAAAATGCAGCAGTAAACAAACCTGGAGCAAATAAGAATAATGAAATGCAGAACATGGAATGCTGATTGCTGCCACCCAAGGGAGAGACTAACAAAACGGTTAATAATGTGGAGTGGAACACCGCGTCCTTCCTTATGAGGCACGACTCTCGAAACATGGAGAGGTTGTTCTGGCCGAGCCGCTGGCCTGTTATTTGATTGCAGAGCCGTGCCCATGCTGCGTCGCCGCCCCTCCGAGCCTCTGATTGGCTCCGTGTTTTGATTTTGCATCGCTGGGAGAGGACTTGTTAGCGGCTTTGCACGCCAGGACACACAGACGCACAAGTCCACAAACGCAACAAACACGCTGTCATCCGCCCACGTCGTGCCACATTTGCCAAGAGAGTAACTGCTGAGATGCTATCATGTGAGAGGCTATTATCAAGCAGGACTCTGAGCGGGGATTGTTCCCATACGTGACGAACGGGCACCGCTTTAACGGCATTCCTGTGGTTTCTCTTTGCTAGCGACTGTGGCTACCTCGAAGACTCCATCAATTAAAGAGAAATGAAAACAGAGAAAGCTCAGTTCTGAGAAGTCAGAGCAAAATTAAAGGGTTTTGATTGTGCTCCTTTGCCTCTTGTTTCCTTTCTCAGCTGGGTTGTGTTTGAAGAGCCGGGTTTCTGCGGCGAGTCCTACGTCCTGGAGAAAGGCCTGTATGGAAGCCCGGAGGACTGGGGGGCGCTGCAGCACAGAGTCGGCTCAACGATGCCCGTCTTGCTGGTACGAGCTCAGAGAAAAGTGTTTTCGGGTGGAAACACTTCCTGGTTATTAGACTGTCGGTTAAGTGGTGTTTTACATCCATTCACTACAACAGCCACAATCTTTGGAAGCTTAATCATTGTGCCATTGCAAGCGTTTCTCACTTCCTCTGGCAGTCCCGGTTTGGCACACCAAGTGATTTCGTTGCATGTGACCAGTCATACTTGTGACAAAATCAGAATCTAGGATGTAGTGGAGGAATCTCTGGGGGTGACAGGCAGCCCTTTATACAGCAGATTGCCTTTGGGAGCCTGAAGCGCAGGAAAAAAAAAAAAACAAGAATAAATTGATCTACACAGTGAAAAAGAGGAAAATACTTGTCATGGGACTGAAAGTGAAAACAGATCAGAGCAGTGACTCATCGTGGAGCTGCTTTGGTTTCAAACCAGCTGATGACAAACAGATCTGTTTCTGTCCAGGTTTACTGTAGTGGTCCACTCGGTTACTGGTCTTTCTCTAGATTGTCTTTCCCACTTTAGAGCAGCTGCACAGGGCCGTGGAGTTTGCACATTTTAATCACTGTCCTTTGTGCCGCTGTGCAGGTGGATCAGTCTCATTATTCCTTTGTTTCGTTTCAGGATGATTTCGAGAACACGGCCAAGTTCAAGGTAGGAGAGGATTGTACACAGAAGAAACTAAATCCAATCTTGCTGTGCTATTGTCTGTCTTTCCCGACGAAGTGCATGAGCAGCTCAGAGCGGATGACAAGTCTCATTGTCTTGCTGTTTGTGCCTCAGGTGCAGCTGTTCTCCGATGCAGGGTTTCAGGGCTCCGCTCTCACTCTGGAGGACGGCGTGGCCTCGCTGCCGGACGCTTTCTCTGTGGCCTCATGCAAGGTCCTGGCTGGCAGGTGAGTAATACCGCCAGAGTAACGCCGCGCTCATTGTGAGTTATGATATAAGAGAAATACTTTGAAACAACCTTCCGAGAGCAGATTTTTACGAATCGATTTCCCCAAGGTGAGCCGCCACAATCGCAGCTGCATATTGCTCATATTACAAAAATATCCCCGTGACTCAGAGCGCGCTAAAGGCTGTCGCTGCTCCACTTACTGAGCAACATCCCGCATGGCAGCAGCTCCTGATGTACACTACTACATGTCTACATGCTGGGGGTTTTTTTTTCTTATAATGCAGCAATTTGTGCTGTAAATGATGCAGCGTGGTGTGTGTGACAGCCTGTAATTAGGAGGCCTCTTCAATTAGGATCGCCACTCGTCATCAGTCTAGTACATGTGAGAAATGTGTGTTTATGCAAATGTTTTTCAGCTGGCTGGCGTTTGAGGGGAAGGACTTCGCTGGCAAGATGTACGTGTTAGAAAAGGGGAACTACCCGGACCTGAGAGCGATGGGCTGCGTCGGCGCCAGCTCCTCCATCCTGTCACTGCAGACTGCTGGCTTTGTAAGTCATCTCTGTAATCCCTCCACATCTCAAAACCCGCTTCCAGCTCACACTAGGAACAGGCTATTTTTCATCATTAGATGCTTGAGTTTGGAGTTTTCTGTGATTCATTGTGTTGTCAGACTGTTTGGGAGGCCGGCTCACACACACACACACACACACATTTAAATGTGCTACTTTTAATATTTCATACGACGGCGGATGAAATCGCTGCATAATGGAGAAGCTGTCAGTTATTTGGAAAAATTGTCACCGGTGTGTGCCGCTCCCCTCGGCTCTGCACAGCTTTGTAGTGTCTTTTGTCGGATGGAACTGAGTTCTGTGGCATTTCTGAAACTTCTCAAACAGCCTCTCTGTGATCGACTGTGGTTTGGATCGTGCCTCATGAGTGGAGGAAAGTGTCTCCAAATGAATAAAAATGAACAAATGTAATGTCATGCAGGGGATGTGGAGTTTTGTCCACCATGTTGAGCAGTTTGTGATTTTACTCGTGTACTTTGGAGCCATAACGGCGACAATAAATCTGATTTATTGAGACTTTCGTTCTCATTAAAGAAGAAGCTTTTCACAGTAATAAAAGTCGATGGAAGTTTCACATCAGCAAATGTTTCTCCAAACAAGTCGCCTCACAGATGCTCCACCAGACGAGGTCAGTTTAATTTTATATCATTAAGACAGTGTCAGAGCGACTTCTAAAAACAAAACTAAATTAAATCGTGAAGGACGGCGGTTTCAGACCCAATCTGAACCGTCTGGAGCACAGAACTCTGCCAGCTTCGCTCCTCTGTCCTTGCCCTTTACATAAAACCTGCCGTCCACTATTAAATGACTCACCGCTGCTGAACCGCAGCACGAGTGTTAATTTAGAAAGCAGCCTGTCTTTTACAGTTAACGGGGAGCGAAAATGCCATCGAGTCCAGAGGTATGAGCGTGGTCTGTTTCCAGGGCAACTTTCAAATAACCCCCATCGTCAACCCGGCGCGACCCGCAGCTTCCACAAGCGTTAATGTGCTTTTTTCCTGTCTTTCTGCTCTCGTCCTCGACAGGAGTTCTCGCTGCCGTCCATCACTCTCTTCGAGCGGTGCGGCCTGCGTGGGAAGAGGGTGGTTCTGACGGACGGATCGGTCAACCTTCAGCTGGCTGGAGGCTGCGGCCGAGTCCAGTCTGTGCTGGTGGAAGGGGGCATGTGAGTACAGTGTGAACGCTGGGCGATAACTCACTCCGTAGGAATGTAAAGCAGCGAGCCGGCTGTCACCAGGTTGTCCTCGATGCCGCACGTTTGACAGGTTCATGCATAGCAGTCTGAGCGGAGACCCAACCCACCGAGCTGTCAGAAGCATTTCTCTCCGCCAGGGAACAAGTTAAACAGAGTATTAGTCTTTATTTCTCATGCCTTCAGTGGCCCGTTGGCTGTCTAAACCTCTGTTGATTTTAAATTCAAAAGTCTGCCAAGTCAACATGTCAGAGATTCTTTGTGCACGGCGAACCACACCCACGTAGAGAGCCATTACTGTAATAACAGCTCATAGGCTCACGTGAAAGGAGCTCCAGCTCAGCACACAAAGCAAGGCCCTTCAAATTAAAGATGGAGGATTTTAAGACAATTAAACACGCAAGCAACGAGGCTGTTTGTCTAGATAAGCGGCTCCTCTGAATGGCCGGTCTTTACATTTGTATTCAGTTCAGGTTTGTTCATGTGACAAGGAAGCGAAGATGTTTTTTTGTAAATTACCCGTGTAGGCAAAGCAGCTCGGGCCTGTGTGTCCGGGTGATGTGTCGACATATCGGAGGCAGAGTGCAGGGTCAGCACGTCTGGTGTCGCAGCGCGGCACACGGCGCCACTGACAGGTGGATAAATGATGGAAATCTGCTGCTGATGTGCAAGATTCAGTCTGTAGGTGTGAGCCCATGCGGAGGAAATAAAGGGCTCACAGTGAGGCAGAGGTGTCTCTGGAGTGACACATTCCTGCCGCGGGAGAGACGAGCCATTGAGACCAGAGTTAAAAGCAAAATTGGACAGCGGTGAAGCTCAGCACATTTCACAAGATTGTCTTTGGCAGTGTGTTGCCTGGAAGACAGGGTTCAGAAATACGGCTGCTTTTGAAAAGAAAACTTTGCACCTACCAGCGTGAAAGGCTCAGCGGGTTGAGTTTATGTTATCAGAGTTAAATCAGAGAAAGGCAAAGCGTGGTAATATTTGTTCACGTCGGCTCGCTCCGAGCTCTCCTGTGCATCCAGTAATCTCCTGGCCAAATGGTACTTCCTCACTCGCATAAGGAAGAAGTTAATGAAAGAAAGAAAAACACGGCTGACATTTTTGCTGCCAAACTTCTCGTCTGAATACAAAACTATGCAGGCTGTTGAATGAAGAAAAGAAATCCTCAGTCCTGTGTAGGAAACACTCTGTAAACAGTGTTTATTATCTCGGGGCTGATGGTGATTAACGGACGCCAGGCAAAGCGCTGAAGGAGAGAAGCCGATAAGGAAGTGTTGTTTGTTCTGTGTTTTCCGTCAGGTGGGTGTTGTACGAGGGAATCAACTACCGCGGCGCTCAGATTCTGCTGAAACCTGGTGAGGTGCCCGACTGGCACGAGCTCAGCAGCTGGCAGAAAATCGGATCCCTGCGCCCTCTCATACAGGTATAGGATGGGATTCTTCTGCTTTGGAACGTCTCTGCACCACAGTGGTTCACATATTTATAGTGTCAATGGTGCACCTATCTGTCAGTTCAAAGCCTCAACATCAGCAACCAGAAAAATAAACCTCACTAATGGATGATCCCCGTTGTTCATCAATCCCGTGTCTCCTGAGCAGAAGCAGGTGCACTTCCGTCTGAGGAACCAGCAGACGGGGCTGATGATGTCGGTGACCGGCGATTTGGACGACGTCAAACTGCTGCGGATCCAAGAGACAGAGGAGACGGACGGTTTTGAGCAGATTTGGTTCTACCAGAACGGACATCTGCACTGCAAGGTACCGGGACAGTCATCACACGACTCATCAGCGTCAGAGGAAGTCCGACCTGCGAATAGAGCTGCAGATGAGACGAGATCAACAGTTAGCGGGTATTTAGAGGAGGTTCAAAATCCTAAAGCCGAGACCAGGTTAGCTCTGAGGAAGGCTGAACTCGGGGAGAGATTAAGACGAGAGACGAGCTGGATTTCACTTCCCCTCCAGCCACTTATCTAATCGTCAGGTTCAAACAGAGGTGAATTCAAACCTGTTTTTGAAGCGCAAACAGGCCGTTGGATGCTATAAGAAATATCACTATCGAGTAATGAGCAAAAGGTTTTATTATTAAGCGCTGATCATTCCACTGCACACATTTTTAATTGCTTTATTGAAAGTAATGAAGCTGTTAGGCCGCAGCTCATTAAGGGACAAAGGGAGAATAGCATTAACAATTTGTTGACAGCGGCTGAAAGCAAAATTGTCCCTTTTTTTTATTTTTTTAATGAACAGCGTGAGACATGTTTACGAGCTCAGCGGCCAGGTTTGGTAAAAAAACAACAATGAGTAAGAGGACCAAGGGTCAATGAGAGCCACTCAAAACAAAGAAAGGAAGAAAATAACACAGACTCTTAATCCTCTGAGCAGCAGCATTTTTTTATTTTTACTCCTGTCGCATTGTTTTCTAGCTGTGGATTCGTTTTTCTCTGCAATATGAATCTATGGAAACACGCGAGCTTGTTATCTGTGCAGGATAGCAAGGTCAAACCGGCATGAATAACAAAACAGAAGCACAAGAGTTGCATTTCCTTGCAAAATGGAAAAAACCTTGAATCAGCATGTAGAACTTTTTTTTTTCTTTTTGCAAGTGCACGCCGGTGTTACCAACACAAGGAAAAAAGATGAATGTA